TAGATGTTTTACAACAATTTTAATCTGAATCAAGATATTAGTGAAGTAATTAAGAAGACAGCCTCATGGAGTCTGAGAACTCGTATTGGGAGCTTGGCGCCTGTGGTGAGATGCTGCATAGCCATCAGTAAGAGAGACTGTCATGTTGTTTCCTGAATAAAGAACTTGCATAGCATCTCAAATACATTTGCTAAAATGCGTATAATGATGATAGAGCTAGGGTGAGTTTCAGTCTGTGGCTTTTTCCCCATGGTGAAATAAATGAGGGTTATTTTTTCTGACCCTGCTGTGTGTTAGTGTAGCATGAAAACCCTATTTATTGAAAAATAGGTTGCATAATGAGTTCTAGGACTTGAATTTATTCTCAAATAGCAAGAAATAGACTGCGCCTTTCCTACAGCATCTAGGAGTGTAAGGGTTAAGTGAATTATGTGCTTTTAATGGGATGTTAACTTGAGATAATGTGACTTTGTTGATAAACCTTAGAATATACTTCAACTAGGTTTTGTACTTGGTAGCAGTCTTGACTATGTCATTACAAGTAGAATTGAAAACAAAGCTTCTATATCCTCAGTGGAAATACCCAGCATAGCATGGCATAATAACATTCATCTTTATGTAGGTGTTTGCTGCATACAGTTTCCAAGGCAAAAGAGACATTGGCCTTGGTGTAGCTCTTCCAGGATGCCCTGATCTCTTGGTAGAGGGTATCTCTCTCTTCAGTCATACGGACTCAAAAGCCACCTGGTGACTTTTATACTGAAACACCTCATGTCTGGGAAGAAGCAATAACATTTAAGCGTATTAACTCCAAATACTTCCTTTAAAATAATAATAATAATAAAGAAGTAATGAATTTAAATGAATTTTAGCTCTAACGCTGTTCCAGTTTGAGCAGCATTTCCATGCTGTGACCTAGTGACTGCTCACTTCACTGAAAGCCCATTGCCAAGGCTCAAGGGGAGCAACATTTCCGCAAGTCTCCTTGAGGATTCACCTCCTCGGCTGGGGGCTCTGATTTTCCCAAGCTCTGACAAGCACTAGTCTTTCTGTTAGACTTGAGCAGCTCAGGGTGTAGTCACTCTGCCAGGCAAACTGGATTAGCTGAGCAGAGCTGGGGTGTGCACTGGTGCTGGAAAAGCCATGAAGGCCAGGCTTAGTGGAAAGAGCAGGGCATGCAGCAGGCTTCAGTGGGGAGGGCTGGGTGCTGCTGTGGCTGGGTGTGGGGCTAGGGCTGCACTGGCTTGAGAACACTGGGCACTGAGGCAGGCGTTCACCTTCCTGGTGGCTTGTTTTGTATCCCCTGCCAAAAGGGGGAATGTATAAAAGAGTATCCAGGGACACTTGTGGACAAATTCTCATCCTTGCATTAAATGCTCAAGCTTCCTGTCCTCCTCCAGGGCACTGTATCCCCAGTGTTGCACAAACGCAAGATCCCAGTAACACTGATATAAAAGACAGTTGTTTTGGGCTTTTTTTTCTTTAATTGAAGCTTCTTTTGATCAAGTTCCAAACAGGTATTTTACAAAGAGCCAGGTGCATACCCACATCATTATATAGATCATTAGGAAGTTTTTTGCTGTGCGGGTGCTGAGGAGCTGGCACAGGCTGCCCAGAGAAGCTGGGGCTGTCCCATACCTGGAAGTGTTCAGGGCCAGGTTGGATAGGGCTTTTAGCAAGCTGGTCTAGTGGAACGTGTCCCTGTCCATGACAGAGGGCTGGAACTGGATGAGCTTTAAGTTCCCTTCCAACCCAAACCATTCTATGATATGATTCTATGGCATGATTTCTATTAATTATAGGTGGTAGTAAGTTTTTGTGGTACTAACCTCAGCCATGGGCAATGGGAGCACTCACAGAGCTTTGGCCTTTTCCTTCGTTAACACTGCTTTCTTAAGTTGCTGTGCATTTCTGCATCTTATTATATGATCACAGCCACAAAACTGCACAATCCCCCAACTTAGGTCTGTGTCTTTATCTGCTTAACTTTAATATCTTGGGAACTGCAAACTTTATTTCATCATTAGGAGCAAAGAAAGAATGAAAGCCATCGCACCACCAAAAAGACATGCTGTGAAAAAAACTGCTGGAAATCTGTTTTTAATATTGAAATGAAGCACATTTTATCACCTAACAGAATTTATTTTCTCAGGTGACATGTTTTGTTTCTATAAAGAAACAGCCATTTTCTCATAAGCTTCTTAAGGCAAAAGTCTGTGAGAATTGTTAGAATATATTGTGTTCCTGAAGCTCCCTGCCAGCAGTGTCGCGTGGCAGGCGGGATAGCCACTGGCTTTGTGCATCCAGGTATGTCCCTGCCCCATGTGCAATTCCAGAGGTTGTTTCTACCCCAAAGTAGGAAAGTTATCTGCATGTTGACAAAAATGAATCAAGAAAATCTTCCCAAGAGTCACGCTGCTTACTGCAGGGTTCATGGAGGGGAAGGAAGGTACATCACCTGCTGGTGGGTGGTGGGAAGGATTAGGAGCTCAGTTTGTTATTTCTTCTGATTATTTTAATAGAGGTGTAATTCTTCCAGAAACCCTAGGGAATATGTTTGGGGAGGGCAATACAGGCATTTGCCAGCAGCGCTCAGTATTCCCATGCAATGATTGCCATTTGTTGTCCTGCTGCTCCCAGTGAGTCTGAGCAAGCTCCCTCCACATCAGTGGTGCTAGGGAATGGGTGATGCCTGATCCAAGCAGGAGTGATCACTTGCTAGAAGCTCTTCTAGTATGCTGAGAAAAGAGAGAGGAGTACTTATCCATTAAAAGAGGAGTAAATTATTTCTCGTTGCTATTAGCCACAGCACTGTTAAATTATACATGAGTCCTCACTGATCAAAGCCATAGCAAAAGGCAGCTTCTCTTTCTTGTTAAGGATCAATCTTTTTGTCAGAAAGGTGGCCTGTGATAACCTCTGATTTCCTCAGCAAATTGGTGGTCTTTCACCCTTCCCTGTAAACATTTCATAACTGACATTAGTGATATGAATCATAGAATCATTTAAGTTGGAAAAGACCTTTAAGATCATCAGGTCCAACTGTGAACCCAGCACTGCCAAGTCCAGCACTAAACCATGTCCCTAAGTGCCACATCAAAACGTTTTAAATCCCTTCAGGAATGGTGAATTCACCACTGCTGTGGGCAGCCTGTTCCAATGCTTGACAACCATTTTGGTGAACACATTTTTCCTAATATCCAATCTAAACCTCCCCCAGTAAAATTTGAGGCCATTTTCTTTTGTCCTATCACTTATTACTTGGGAAAAGAGACTGGCCCCCACCTTGCTACAACCTCCTTTCAGGTAGTTGTAGAGAGCAATAAGGTCTCCTCTGAACCTCCTTTTCTCCAGGATCAGCAACCCCACTTCCCTCAGCTGTTCCTCATAAGACTTGTGTCATAAACTTTCCTTTTTTTCCTGAGTTCCAGCCAAAGCTCTTTGTTAATCCAGACCAGTCTTATTCCCTGCCTGCTCATATTTCAGTACAGGAGGATAACTTACTCCTATGCCTCAGGGTTTCCTTCTTGAGGAATGTCCAGCCTTCCTGGACTCCTTTGCCCTTCAGGACAGCCTCCCAAGGAACTCTCTCAACCAGGCTCCTAAACAGGCCACAGTCTGCCCTCAGGAAGTCCGAGGTAGAGGTTCTGATGATCCTCCCCCTCTCCTTACTTCACCAAGAATCAGACCCTCTTTCGTTTCATTGTTGTTATCGTTCCTGTAATTGCTTGGTTCCACATGCAGAGCCTCATATCTATTGTTCAAGGGCATTTGGGAAGGTGGGGTGGTCACAGAGGAAATGTGACTGCTGCGCCAGGCAGGAACTTGTCACCATTGCCCTACTGTTTAAGTCACCATGTTCAGCCAGGTGGAGAGAGGATAGGGAATCCTCCATGTCACGTCTTGTCTGTGTATGGGCTCTGTCTCAAGGAAAGCAGGGTGCAGTTCCTGTAGTCTGCCTCTCTCTCACATGTGCTCCCTGATAGTCCTCAACCTACTGGCTTCCTCTCAGAGCTCTGTCACTAGTTAGAGATGTTCCTCTACAGGGGTGTATCTCCCACGGGTGTGCTCACTGCTGCCATCCATACTGTCCATATGCCCAACCTGGTCACTAGTGCTTCCTAAGAGCTTCTTTTATAGGTGTTAGGGGCTTGCCCACTATTGCTCCAGCCCCACTAGGGTTTCCTCAGCTGCTGTTGCATGAGCTGCAGTTTGGGAACACCCCCCATGCATCAATTGTGCCAGCGCTGGAGCTGCTCACCTCGGCAATTGAGGTATATACAGAGGAAGAGAGAATTTGGTATTGCATTGTGTCAAGGGAGTCTCAAATGCATCTGGCATTTTGACAGCTTCTCTTGTTGCTGTCTTGCATATCTCACCAGGATGTATATAGCTGCCATGCTGGCTTTGGAAGTGCCAGCTAACGTCATCTAATTAGTCCTGTAAAATGAATCTATGGGACTGCACAGGTCTTGGATCTTTAGTTTGTAGCTCATGTTAATTTTTCTCTGTGTATCCCATTCCTTGCCCAAGAGAAGAGGCATGTGATTTGTTTGTTTGGGGGGTTTTATGTATCTGCTCCTAAATGTCCTTGAGTATTTGAAAAAAAAAATAGTGTTTTACGTAAGCCAAATTAATGGATAACACAAAATACATGATTTCAAATAAGTTTAATTTCTAAGCCTCAAATTATAGCTTTTTTTGTTTTGTTTTGTTTGAAATAAGCACACTTTGAGCTCAGAGGCTAATGGAAGGACAAGATATGCTATAGGATAATCGTTAAGCTTTTGCTCGGTTCCAATGGGATTTTAAACAATGATTCACATGCGCCCCCCAGGATTAGATGGGCTTTCACATATTTTCAGCATTGGGTTCACCACCGTTCAGGTTGAATGCAAAATAAAATAGAAACTCATTACTTGCACTCTGGAAGTGACTTGGCAGCCATTTATAAAAATACTTAACATTCACCAATTTCCTTGGTTTCTCCTGTCCCCTAGGAGCACACTGAGAACAGATCCATTCATCACCATCCCATCCAGCAGCCTGGTGTGCGGCGGCTTGGAGGTAGCAGTGATGCCCTGGTGCTTTGATTCATGCAATCAGTAATCTCAAGACTTTACCTAAAAGGATGGAAAATGCAGTGTGACCCAGGAGGTAAGTGATGATTGTTGTGTGTGGCTACAGTTCGTGTCAACAAATAAAGCCTCCTGAGTCCAACCAAATGATAAAAATCCTTTTATTTTGCATTTCTTAAATCTTTGCATTGAAGTTGACCTTATATTTAGCGGTAAATAAATGTGAACAAATTAGGGAGTATGCTTAAACTCTGATTTGTTTAGGTCCCATTGCCTCCTTCAGACAAAAGTTTGGTTTAATTGGTTTGTTAATTTACTCTGACACTTCTGTCATCTTCATTTTGACTTGCATTCCAAGAAATGTCAGTTGATTGAGTAACTTTGTGGCTGTTGTAAGGGTAAGAAAACAAGGGTTTTGGGGGGAGGCTCTTTGTTAATCAGCCTCTGGTACAGCCATGGGTTTCTTTGCACACATGTTGATGCTGACCCTGCAGCCAGCAGTGCCAGTGGCCCCAGGACCCCTGCTGTTAGAGTCCCTATAGGACAGAAAGGATGCTTTTTTGATATTAAGGAAAATGTTATATTTATCATACTACAATTTATTGTATATTAGGAAAAATAAATGTTGGCTTTTACTATGACAGATTTTTGGTTTATCAACCAAATCCATTGCTGATGAAGCTGGCATTTGCTTCTCTTGAGTCATACAGAGGGTTTTTTTTGGCACGTGATACATTAGCAGGTGTGTATTCTTTGTGGCTACAATTTGAACAAATGTTTTGAAAAGATGACAGTGAAAATTACTTTTCTTCCCTACATTAACAAGTAGAGGTTGTGTATTTTAATTACTGTGACCAAGCTGCAGTTACAGCTGATAAACATAAGGAGATTATGCTGCAAAAAGAGAGAAGTATTTACCTTTTCTTAAGGAATTGTCACAAAGATCAACAGAAAAGGGGGAACGGGAAAGGTTGGACAAAATTATGCCAAGCCTACTTATTATTAATAACTGCAATACTGCACATTTACTGTATATAGCACACCATGACCTCAAAGAACTTAAAGCTCTACTACATGAATAAGTTATCTTTGTGATGCTCTAACATATTAAGCAGGACAAATACAACTTCATGTATGAAATAAGCCCACAAAGGCTTGTATCGCATCTTGGCTTAAGTGTGCATGTATGCCCCTGAAGTCAGCAATAGGATCACATCGATATAGTGCAGGATCAGAACATCACTATAATCTTCTTATCAGATGACAAGCATAACTGTAGAATTGAGAGAAAATATTTTTAGAGATGGGTCCACTTCCCCTCTCCCCCTTTTTTTAATCTTGTACAAGACTTGGTGGAACAACTGCCATGCTATGAACATGCAGTAGATTGCAGCCAAACATTAGGCAGTCTTGTAGCGGCTTTTGAAATGATCATATAGTCAGGATTTTACACTAGCCTTTGAAATAGGCCAGGGACTCTGCTTACACATCTTTATTACATTACTGCAAAAGTTTGTTTTAGTGTGGAGGCACGGATGTCTAGCAGTGTGGTGTAACTGAGAAAAGAAATTATGTGACCAACTGAGGAGACAGGCTGGGTACATTTCACTCCTGTAAATGATAGGATAACATATTGATCTGGAGGGAAACAGCATTTGCCATATGCTTGGTGCTAAAGTTTTTTGCTTGAAAGAACAAGAGTTGGCCAGAGACCAAAGCTCTGTGGTTAAACATGCCTTGATCTTTGAGGAAATTCCCAGTTTCCTTTGGCAGCTCTTCTTGGGTTAAAGCAGAAGAGGGTAGATGCAGTACTGGGCATTAGTTGCCATCATCTCCAGCTATCCCAGTTGCTTCGTGGCCTGTTACAACACTTGGGATCCCTTGGAGGTATTCCTGGTGAGTATCTTCTGATGGAGGTGTATCCTGTGGGGTATTTTTTTAATACTGTAATGTTTTTATAAGAGAATGTCAAAACAAAAGATGTTGAGAGATTCTTCTAGCTTTTATAGTACTTAAATTTATATATTTTGTGATGGCGTGTTTCATTTTGCAGATCCAACATAAACATATGATTTTGCACTGTAATATGCAGTTCTGGTAATTTTAAAGACTTTTGCAGCTATGCAATCTATAATAAAAAAAGAGGGTTTTGCTACCTTATGTGACTTATGTATGTGAAAGACTTCGAGTTAGCTTCAGATCATTGTCTAGTACTTCTTAGACTGGACTTAGAGACTTTTGACAGCTGGCTTCCCAGGGCTTCTGTCCCTGTGAGCCTTCCTGCAGCCAGGGGGCTTCAATAACTTGAAATAAATATTCCCAGTTTTAATTTCTTCCTGGACACTGATTTCCTTGTAATGTTCTTACAAGCAATACTTGGATATGTTGGACGTCCCTTGCCTTTTATCTATAGTTCAAGTCCTAGTAAAAGAAATTATTTATGGCTGCTGGTGTTACCAGCAGTGAGGGATGCTCTTCAGCTGGAGCTCTGGGTGTGTTGGTAGAGACAATCCTGCACACTTGATTCTAACAGATAAATGTGAGTGCAATGAACCCAGGACCTATTAAATGAGTTTCAACAGCTCATTCAAAGTTATCCTGCTTCAATTTTACCTCCACCAAAATGGGGAAAAAGACAGTTTCCTCTACTGGGCACCTAAATAAATGTGTGTGTGTCAAACGCTAGTTCACATGAGACTCTTGTATTTGAAACTTGAAAATTGTCTTGTACTTGGCTCCCATGTATCCCTGGGGCTCCCACTAACCTACATATGTGGTGTTCGGTGGCCAAGGGCTGCATCTGAGAATAATACTAGTGCTTTGACTCTTCTGCATTCTGTGTCTGCACACTTCAAACAGACAAAGTTAACACAGTATTAAGATGTTAAATACTGGAATTTGTGTAGCCTCTAACTTGCTGGTTTTATGAATGGCATTTTATCTGGCAGCCAACAGCATACCTGTCCCTTTTTTAGCCATAGTCAGCATCAAGAGAAAAGCTCACAGCAGACACTAAAGATTTTCTTTCTCAGTAACAAACATGGAAGCCTCCAGCCATGCCTTTTTGCTGTTATCATGAACAAAGGTCAATTGCCACATTTTGTTTTTTACTTTGTAATTAAGGGTTGAGCTTTCAGTACTTTTCACTGCAGTTACTGACAACAGAAATTCATCTTTTTAATCGTTGCAGAAAAAGGTATGGTCTCTAGAACAGATCCCCCTAAAACATTCTAGCTTTCTTCTTCTTTCATTTGGAAGCATGTCTACAGCTAGGAAAAGCTGAACTAGTGCGTTTGGAGAATATGCATTTTAAGACTAGCAGTTTGAATTTTGGTTTTCCTGAGCCAACTGAAAGTTATGTGAATGGAAGGTAGTCTCCAGGCTGAGGCTGTTATGGGAGACTGTGATTATGTTGCAAGCTGCATAGAAATTGCATTGTCAGACGCTTTGTTATTAAGGCCCATTGTGTTTGCTGCTGTTTTCCATGTTTCACATTTTATTGTATTAAGAAATTTTCCTATTGTAATTTTTCCCCTCGCTCATGCAGCAAAACTCAATCAGAGCTACATTAGTGAAAGAGATTGGACTGTTTTTTAAACTACTGCAGGCAGTCAGTGTTCCAGGAGAGCAGGCGGTAGCTGCTGATGGTGAAAGAGGTCTGGTGGGGGCACAGGGCCTGAGGCCACAGGAAGAATCACTTTGACAACCTTATATTGCACAGATAGTGGAACAGATACGTGTCATTACATCATTTGGGTATAATACACTTTTTGCTTGTCCATTACCATTATGAAAACGTGCTTGCTTTGTTGCATTAATAACTATTATGTTTATGAAATGAATTTAAGTGGAAAGATTTATTGTATTAAACAATTATAGGAAGGAAAATGGAAAACTTGATCCTTAGAGTGGTTTGAAAGAGCGTCTATCTCACCTGATTAGGAGAAAAAGCTGCTCTGTCTTCTTAAATTATTTTTTCTCTGTTTAAATAAATCTTGTGAAATGCTTGCATGCCTGCAAGAATTATGAAAAGCTGTTAAGACGTAAATCAAGTGTTCCAATGTTGCTGCATGAATCTTCCAAGGCAATAAACTTTTGATATCTTTGACAAGTTTTATGATTCAAGATAGGTACACTGTGGTATGTACCATATTTCAAAGTTACGCATCTGAATAGATAATATCAATTTTTATATGCTAATAATTTGTTTTGGTATTTTAATACTAGGAGCCATAACTCATATCTATCATGTTCCTTAGGCTACAGATGATTTGAATAAAATTGAGAGGAAAAATCACTTCAGGAATACCTGCAGTATTGCACTGTTCCATTGCAAAAATAAAGCCTAGAAATAAAAAATTTGAATTGAAGCTGATCAGCTTCAGGTCAGGATTGTTCCCTCTGATGTTTTCCTTTCCCTTTGCCACAGTATATTTTCAGTTTGCTGAATGTTTGGGCTCTTTTCCATTTCCTGTGGTAAATTCTTGAGTAGGCAAATCAATCTTGCTATTTGCACACAGTTTTCACCTAGAAGTATAATCTAAATGTTTCCTTCCTTAAATTTACCTGAAACTCCCACTGATACTCATGGCATATTACAAAGTTTTACCTGTTCTAATACATTACACGTTGTGGGAGAAGTTGAAACTCAATTTTGCTGTTGCAAACTGGATGATGATGGCAGTGATATTTGAATGGTGGGAATGTTATGGCAATATTGGAGAGTTATAAAGCTAACTGAAAACTATTTTGAGGGCAGGCATTACTGAAAAACAATTTAATCTCTATAGCTTTGTAGCAACTCAAAATTCCTCTATCTAAACGTAAGATGCACAAAGGGCCATGAAAGCTCACTAGAACCTGCAGGGATTTCTAAATGTTTTATATAAAAGAAAATCAACAATCAAATAAAAAAAAAAAAAAGGAAAAAAAGGGAAATGTCTAACCATAGAAAAGATAAATGAGGCTAAAACCCAGTTTGTATTGTTTTTCCAGTAAAAATATCTTTAGTGTTAAGTAGAAAATCTCATTGCATGGTAAACAGTTTATCAACTACCTGATCTTGAGTACCTTTGAGACCCCATCACAGCATTTATATTTAACCAGGCAAGTCAAGACTGATTCCCTTCTCCCCACTTCATCTGCTCTCTCTGCGTGTGTGAACCTATCTTTATTAATGGTAATTTGTCCCAGTGTTTCATATTATTTATTTTGAGTTTCAAAGCTGTTTAACAGAATGCTCCAGTTTACATCTGAAGGAAACAATTGCCAAAGTGTTCAAGATGTAAACACTTCAGACTTATCTGTACCCCTCTTCGCCTGCCAAGAGCAAAGCACTCTGGTGAGTTAGCATCCTGGTTAGTTTTTCAGGAGTCAAATTATTAAAACCCTAGAAAACACAGCGAGTGCTTCACCACCACCTCCCTTCCACCTGTACTATCTTGGTGTTTTCTGTAGAACCTGCATTTCAAATGATTTTTCTTTTTACTGGTTTTCTTTTTCTCCTGAGTTGCAGTTTGGAGAGTGTTGCTGTTCAGGTGATGGTAAGATTTCATGGGTTTCTTCATTCCTGCCCGTGAACACACCAGAGATCAACAGTGAAAATGCTCAGAAATGCATATGTAAATATTGGCACAGCATCCCTGCTCTGGGGGGATTTCTAACCTTTGCCAGCTTATCATAAGCACCATGCCCCAGTGGCATTAACCATGGCTGTAACACAAATCAGCATCTCATGCCTTCTGCTGTCTCTGTTGACATGATTTCTTATATTCTCCCCCTCTTTCCTTGCAGGCTTTCTCTGGTCTCTCTCATGCTGGAGGCAGGTTGAGCAGGCTTTTCCCCATGCTGGGCTATTGCCAGGGAGCCGAGAGCAGAGCCCAGATGTGATGAGATGATATTGTTCCTCTGTGCAGGCAGAAGCAAACACAACCCAGCCCGTCCTCCATGAAGACTACGACCTTCCAAACCATGGAGGAAGTGGTTCAGTGCCTAGCTTTGTCTAGAAGTGGGACAATTCCTGTCATCCTATGGCTTGTTGTTCAGGTTTCATGAAGGCCAATCAGCTGTTTCCCTTTGGGAGCTTTTCATAAAATTTAATTCATTCAAAAAGGTGGATTTTTGAATCCATTAAAAAAATTCCTATCAAAATGGATGGGCATGGGTGACTTTTGCAGTGCTTCTCACAGTGTGCTCATTAACATATCTTTCACATGGGTAATTTGTTAAAGATGAGGTGATGCTTTCTCTCTGGCTGTTTTTTGTTGTTTTTTTTTTCTGGGATTTTTTTTTTGTGTGTGTTTATTTTAATTTTTTTAGGGTTTTTTTTTTGTGCTTTTTAAAATTTTTGATTTTTGTTATTATTTAGTTGAAACCAAAATGGCCTTCACGAAAAGAGCGAAGGAAACTGAGAGGATGGGAGCTAGAGGGTTTATTACCCAGTGTCTTTTTTCCTTGGAAAGAAATTCATTATCTCACAAGGAGGAAAAACATGTTGCTGAAGGGAAGCAGGGCAGTACCTCAGGGGCACAGCTGGCAGGTGAGGCAGCAGTAAGACAGGGAGTGGGGGATAGAGACAGGGATAGGGACAGAGGAACAGGTCATGGTGTGAAGAAATTTAGGCTCTTGCCTAATATCTCTGAATTACATTCAAAAGTCTGTTATAGTTGGCTGTGATATAGAAAGTCAACTGGCTGCTCTGGAGGCATCCTTCATACCACTGCAAGAAAACAGAGGAAAAACTTTTTGAAATGAAAGAAAAGGTGAAACGTTTCCATCTGAGCATTTTCAGGAAAAACTGCTTTTCTTTTTTGCCAGCGTGAGGATATCGTCACTTGGGAGAGTGGGGCAGGGCAGCAGCATTTTCCAGATGAATTTGCAGTTGACTTACCGCTTGCACAAAGGTATATTTAGGGATGTATCCAGACACCTTATCCTTTTCACAATTGTGTCACCTCATAGAAACTGTGTGCAAAAGGAAACAGCTCTTCCCAAATAATATCTTGTTCCTTTTTTGGATTACTATATTCACATAGCTCTTCTCAGGAAATAATTTGCAGTGAATATAGTCATTCTTGCAGTAAAATGATGGCATCAAACAGCTAGAATGTGCTGCTTTACCATGTGAAATGTAAAGGGAGTGTCACCTCCTGAGACTGCTGGTTTGCACCATCTTATTGCAAATATTGATACTGTGAATGTGTTCCTTCTTCACCAAGTTCTGACTCCTTGCAGAAGGAAGTGCAAAGGGGGCTTCTCCCCTCCCTCACCCTTTCTATTCAGGGTGTATTCTAGCCGTTGGGATAACAGGCAAGGAATGGGAGATGGGAACAGCAAAGTTAAACACTGAAAAATAAAGCCAAAAGGAAAATTAACTTCAAAAACCTTTCAATGTTAAAATCTTGAAATGTTCAAGTGTTTCTGATGTCTTCTGAGTTCTGGACTGAGACTGAATACTCTGAGTTGGCTCTAAAGCACTGATTTAACAGGCAGTAGCCTCAAAGCAAGAGGGAACTGGAAGACTTGACACCCCTTGCCGATACCCTCTCTCTATCTTTCACAGCTTGGCTGTCAGTAATGCTTGTCTCCTGTCTCTCCAGGGCTCCCACGGAGGAGCTCCCAGCTGGAGACTATGTCTGCTCTCTGTGGGACAGATTCTTCACTCCAAACCTGCCTTTTAAGTGGCTGTGACACAAAGCTGTCTGGGCTGAGAATTTACAGCAATAATGGGGTAATTTATCTAAGCATATCTCCTCATCACTGCTTGCACTTTGAAAGGAAATATCCCTCATCTTTAAAGCCAGTAACACACCACCCACTACTACATGGCTAGGCAGAGGGAACAGATGTTGTATCACAAACGAGAGTCAGAAAGGATTTAAATAATGCAGTCAAAAGGGAAGCAGTAGCATGGGAATGCATCAGCTGCTGTTGGGAGTGTCTATATTGTACCTGTAAAACTGTGGAAAATTACTTATTTCACACCTTCTGAAGACTATAAAGGAGGCCAAAAAAGTGGTAATTGTATTAGGAATTAATCCACTTGTCCCCTCAGTATGTTGAAATGTCCCTTTCTATAGAAATGACAGAAAAATGGAAGGGCAGGAGCCTCCCTAAAGCCTGTCTGAGAAGTGGGGTGCAGGCACCGGGATTGGTACTATCAGGTTTCATGGAGACTTTGTCTTGTACTTACTTAGGCTTTGGGGTATGTGTTCCAGTCTCGCATTTAAGGTAAGCCATGAAATACTGTATATTGACTGTTATTTGTTTTTCTGTACCTCGATAATAGAAACTAATAGAAGCAGATAGCTAATATGTTCTGGTGGGATGACCTTGGGAGCAGGAGACCAGCTAGTTGTGTCTTCCTCCAGGGAAGAAAGTTAGAGGAATTACTGCCAAATAATAATAATAGCAGCAGCAGCAGCACAGGCTGTAATTCCCCACTCTCCTACTTTAGTGACACACCTGAACACCAGCATGAAGAAAACAAGTAATTTATCAAATATAATTTCTTGGAACCACTGGGTGTGTGAAGCAGAGTGGGGGAGAAATGGGTCTACCTCATCCCAGCCATTAAGGAACTAGTATATAATTTTCCCATTTTGGCAATTTGTTCTTGCTTAGGCCAAATCTGGATGTGAACTAATACGACTTGCTGTATGTTCCCATTTCCTTTTTAAGGCATGCTGAGGTGCAAGCTTTGCTGCACCCACCTACACTTCCTAATGAGGGATCTGACCCCGTTGCTCTCTGTGTTCCTGAGGTTCCTGTGCAACCACAAATCACCCACCTCAACTCTCATTTTGACCTAGTTTCTTGTTGGTTTTGTTGGTTACATTTTTAAGGAAGCGAGGTTTGTGTGATACCCTTGGAAATGCTGAGCCTTTTGCATCTATTTTCATCTCCGTGAAATCAATTAAATTTTACTGTGGGAGAGAAAATGCAGAGATAAATACCTACATGTTTATTAAAAGAAACTGGTTAAAGGGCTGTCCTAAAGCAAATCAGGCAGAACTTAGACATCAAAAACTCTTTGGTGGCAGCATCTGGCCAGGAAATGAGCAGGTGGAGGAATCTGGGCATCAGCATCATCATAAAACATAGTTCATGTGCTGTGGGGGTCTTTGGTTGTGAGGTTTAAGGAAAAAACTAATGGAAAACCTTGTTACAAATTCAATTTTAATAAAAAAACAAGTTATAGAGGAAGAGGAAAAGACTAAAGAGTTGGGTAGAAACATCTCTGCACATAAGAAAAGAGAGAGCGAGATGTGCTGCCTGATTTCTGTATAATAGAAGTTCATTTCTTGATAATAGAGGTGATTTTGGCCAAAAAATGAAGTGAACTTGGTGTGTCTCATCCACAAAGGAAAATAAGAGTCCAATGCTGGAAGGTTATATTGGTTTCTATGGGGAGAAAAGTACTGGCCAAGGTGAGATGGCTGCAGAAGAGGGGATGCAGGCACAGCGATATCTAGCATGTGACACCACAGCACAGCCTGGCAGAGGGAGAAATGGGTAACCTGGAGCAGTTATATGCAAAAAAGTCTTCACAAACAGAACAAGAAGCTGCTGTGACATGTATAGTAAAGAAAAGGTTTGAATAGTTCTGAAGACTGCAGATCTGAAAGCCACCCCTTCATCTGTAAGAAAGGTTGTAAACCAGTAATTGGAAAAGCCTGGTCTGGGTGCAAGAGATTTTGATGGGGAAAAGAACAATCTGCACTGAGTCATAAAGAGAATAAATCTATGATCAAAACCATTCAAGCAATTTCAGCTGAGGCCTCCTGGGCTGAGCTTGGCAAAGAGGAATAAACTTGGCACAAGACCTTTGCCAGTGTCCTGCTCCTGCCAGATGGGATTGTTCTTTTGGCCTTTTCCAGTGGGATTTCCTAACTTCATTTCCAGTTGCTGGTTCCCTGTGCCCCTTTGCATTATGGTTGGTTGCCTCAGTTCTGCCTTGCCGCACTATGAGCTTTTTCCCACTTGCCTACATACTTCCACACAGAAATTGGGAAGATTTGGATGTGTTGCAGTGCCTGACGGGATCTTCTGAGTGTCTGGAGTGGTATGAGAAAAGTATGGATCTTCTGCGGTAGAAATATTAGTAGGCAAAAAACAAAATAAGCATAAAGAAGAATAAAATAAGAACAAAGACAAATAAGGACAAAAAGTAACAAGGGAGAGAAACCTGGTTCCTCGTTACTCATCTACAAGTTGGAGAATATAAAGTAGCAAGTGAAGGTGTTATTGTGGATTTGGTCCTGATGCCAGACTTGCATGAAATGAGCTGTAGGAAGTTCCTCTTCATTATGGGAAGGATTAATATAAGAGATAAGAAAGTAAGGAAAAGCCTGTGTGAACAAAGGACTTATGAAGCGAGTAATTAGATAAGACATTCACAGAGATTTAGTTATTTAATTGCTCAGTAGATAATGTGTGTATATATGTACACACATGCAAGTTATGGATGTTTCTGCATGCAATTATCTGTGAATATGCTATATACCTCTGAAATGGCTGATAAAGTTCTAAGTTGACTGTCATGAGTTTTAATGCCATTGAACTAAATAGCTTTGCCATTTAACTCAGCATTTCACTAACAAACGGAAAGTATTAAAAACCTTAGAGGGCAGAACTTTCTGGCTTTGCAGAATTTGAAGTCAATTCAAGCGCTGTGTGTGTGTGGTGGGGAGAACAGGGCTGGCAAATGCATTTTTTTCTTTTACATCTTTTTCTTCCTAAACCAGTCCAACAGAGGAAGCTGTGACCATGTACCCCAAGGGCATTGAGTTACTGAGACTTTGTGAATGAGTTTGCATCCCTAACGCTGCAGTACGTGGCTCTGTCATATTCACAGCCAGTTCCAGCTGGGAAGTGCGTGAGTTTAAATCATCATGAAGACAAGGTTGGCTTTAAGTAAGCCATTTTATCTTTCTTTATAATGCTTTGAAGGAGGAAATTTTGCTGCTTATGTAGCTCTTGAGAGCTGTTATTTCCAGTGGCTCACCTGTGAGTGCAGTGCTGAAGGACACAGTTTACAAGGTGTAGCTGTTGCGGAGCCGTAAACATGCTTTATTGAGCAGACTGGGGTTTCCAAAGGAGCCAAGGAAATTAGTCACCTGCCTTTCCACGTAAATAAATGACCAGCATGTCTTGCAGAGATAATTTTTCCATAGGTAAGTAAACCTCGGGAGAGGGGGGAGATATCTCCATCATGTGCCATGACCCTGCACAAAAGGACAGGAGTTCTGCAGAAAGTTTGGTACGCTTTTGCGCTGGAGAAGCTAATGTCATACTTTCCTTGTCTGCTTTGAGCTGTAAATCTCTCAGGGACCTTCAGAGAGCTCTTTGTGCTCTGTGGGATTTGGTTGGGAGGATGCTGTCTGAATCAGTGGCTTCTCAAGACAGGTCAGCTGCAGAAAGGAGCAGGGAACTTCTCTCACCTGGAGAGAGATAAACTCAACTCCTGACACATTTAAACTAACCTCCACTGAGCTAAGCAGCAGTTTCCCTGAGGGATGCTGTTCTGCAGTTTCTCATCCTGGAGCTTCTGGTTTAGTCCACTTCCCGAGCTAAGCAAATGGAATAAACCCAGTATCTGGGTAAGTAAATCAGCATCGGCACTGAGCAGGATGCTGTTTGTCACTTCCTGTCTCTTTCTCTCTAGAGAGACACGAGATTGTCACCTACACCAAATCTTGTCTATTAAAATCTAAAGCTGGATGATCACATGAATGAGTTCAGGTCCTACAACGATAAAGTAAACGTCTGCTGCTATAGAGAAGCCAGTTGGTGACCTTTCCACTCAGCTTCCCTGGTGATTCACAGGTTTTACTTTTTTGTACAAAAGCACTTTCCCTGGCAAAAGCTCCTTTAGTGAAGGTGAAAATGAATAAAATAAGCCCACAAAACACTGAAGGGAAGGTTAGGTCTTTTCACAGTTATCACTATTTATAACATAAAGCAGCTGAAGTGTGGTGAGCTCTATGGAGAAATGCATGCGTTTCTATGCGCCAGCCTGAGCTCAACTCCCGAGTTCATTTCCTCATGTTAGCAATTCTTTGGTGTCCTGTATTTTCAGGAGGAAACTTCTTCATAGCCTGGCGTGCCAATGTGATCTCTTTAAATGATACTGAGAGCATTTGACATTTGACTCTATTAAAAATTCATCAAGAATTGATATACTGCATTTTTCATTGAAGAAATTGCAATCAGGTAGCAAAGTCTGAATATTCATGCAAAAGTAATATCTTTTCAGCATTCATTAATCTGAGTCAGCAATGAACTACACCTAGAATTGAGTGATAATTTGGAACAACTAATTTATTTGATTATTTTTCTCATCTTCCCCATTATTAAATATCCATGACCAGTTTAACTGACCTTCCTGAAATTTTTCATTTAATATTCAAAGGTTTTTTTGGTAAATGGTTTGAAGGGCTGTTGTGTGGTTGGTGGCAGCAACCAGCCAGGCTCACCCAGGCTTGCAGGGCAGAGCATCCTGTGGCAGTAGGACAGCCGGTTCCTATGCTCAAAGCTGCTCTGGGGAGCAGTGCTGGCCCCACACACAGCTCTGCACCAGAGGACGTACTCCATGGTAAGGTTCCCTGCTTTTAGTTCATGGCTGATAGGGTCAAGCCCTGAACAGGCCGTTCCTTTGTCTTTACTGTTATCCTGAAAATATTTTAAGTTTCTAAGTTCTCTCTCAGTCTCTTTTTGGCTTAAAGTTCAATTTCCCAACTTTGTTTCACCGCTTGGCAATGTTTCATAGACCTCTGATCTGCTACCTTCTCCTTTATCTATTCCATCCATTTAGCCCACAACTTTACTGACATATATCTCTTTCTCCAGTGAGGACTAAGCCTAGCAGAAGGATTATTTCCCATATCTCAGTAGCTACACTTCCATTTGTGACCCCAGAATGACTGCATCTTTCAGAGCAGCCATCCTCAGCTTTCCCCAACCTGCAGAAGTTTCCCCAGCCTGTAATGACACAATTGATTATTTTTTCCCAAGTATAGTGTCTTGTATTGTCTCTCCTGAATACCAGGAATTGTATTTCCTGAATAATCTTTTTCTTTAAAGATTATTTCCGCTATTTGTCAAGACCTTTTTTGAATTTTAATCCTGTCCTCTTGTGTTCTGCAGTTCTTTCCTGCACAGAGTTATCAGCAAATGTAATAAGCATATTCCTTTTTCCATCATCCAAGTCACTAATGAAAATATTAATAATACTGAGTTAAAGGCAGGTCTCTCTGAAACTGTGCATGATTCATACTTTCATTTTGAATAGAACTGTTTTCTGGTAATGAATTGTCTTCTAGCAAGCTTTGTAGCCTGTATACAGATCCCCAGATGCCATATTAATAGCTAAGGCTGAAGTCAAGCTGTGCCTCTTTAATGTCCCATAGAAGGAAATGCAGTTGGTATGGTACACGTCAGCAAATGCTGTTTGCTACTGCTCATGCCTTGGGTATCTTGTTGCTTTTATAGAAAGATTGAGTTTTTTCTGTGAATGGATGGTTCGTGGGCTGATATGTAAAGCAGTATGTTTTCCTTCTTAAAGACATGGTTACCTTTTCCCCTGTCTTTTCCTCTTCAGTCTTCCACGATAATAGTTAAGAATCTGATATCACTTCAGACATTTCCTTAAGTATGCAAAGATAAAGCTCATCATCATAACCCATTTGAAGACATCTAAATTAGGTAGGCACTCTCACCATTCTCTTTTTATGAGATTAGAATCTTCCCTTTTTGTTACAGTATTATTGTGCCGACCATCTGCTCTCAGTTGGCCTTTTACATGAAGACTGAAGCAAAGAAAGCTTATTAAGCATTCAGCTTACTTGGTTAATGGTTTTCCCACTCCTTTTTTGGTCTGTCTTTATTACTAATGTACTTATGGAATTATATCTTGTGAATTGCTCAACACTGTGTACCCTGACCTCTCCAACTTCGTTGCTGTACTTCGCTTCATGAAACGCTTGCTAAACTATTTTAAGTGCTAGAGCTTAGGCTACACACTGGAATTCCTACACAATAAATCCATGAAGTATATATAATCTGTTTTCACCTTCCAGTCATACTTGTGGGTCAGGCCTCTTGCTTGAAAGGAAAGGTGGTGGCAGCCCCTCAGTTAACACTGAACTGAGCTCATGGCCAGTTAAAATCTATAGGCAGGCAAAGGCAAAAAAAACAGAAGTGAAATTATTGAGATTACAAACTTCTTTTTTTCAATCTAATAATATGCTATTTGTTCAAATTACATTAACTTTTTTTCCCAAGTTTTCCTCTTCTGAGTCATTCTGTTCTTAGTGCCTCACCTAGATTGTTTCTTAGGTCTTTAGACTTCTCTGTGGATTTCCCTTTATTGGTCCCCAGTAATTGTTCTCTGTCCTTGATCCTTTTAAAATAGTGACTGCAGCAAGTTTTACCTTTCTATGTATGTGACCTCAAAGACACAAGAAGAATCCTTCTCAATTACATTGGACAGCTTGTAAACAGATTTCCAAATTATTCCAGCCATATGTAAACACACTAGGGTTTTAAAAAGTAGTTTGAGTCACAGAGATGTAGATCAGTAGAGACTTCTGGTTTGAATTCATGCATGGCAAAGCAATTTAGATAATAAGATGGGGAACATAATAACGTAAAATTTCAGTGTTGCAACTTCAGTTTTCACTCTCACACTACAGACGTGAGAAATGAAGAGAACTCTGATTTGCAAAGCTAAATAAAACAGAGGTGCAGAGGAACCTGACTGGGTGTGCTTGACCTTCTTTTCAGTTTTCAAGCAACTCAAAACTGAATCTTATGCAAAACTGGCCATTATCCTTGTTTTCTCATGCAAAGCGATGAACCTATAACTTACTAAAGAAAGCAGACTGCTCTTTGCTGATATAAAAAAAAAAAAAAAAAAATCTCAGCTTTCCTCATTTTCTCCTGAATCATCTGAAAATGGTTAAGCTTTGTCAGATCCTAGTAAAAGATACTGAAAGAAAATAAACCTGCATAAGGTACTGAAAGAAAATAAAAATGCACACAGCTATGTAACAGAAACTGACTGAAATTTAGCAACAATTTTGAATTTATCTTAATTCCTGGCAACTGAAAAGCAGGAGCCTCTGCTGGGGCCTGCCTTTTTCGGGAGGTGCTGGTAAAATAGCCTTAGCCCAGCCCTAAGGTAACTGATGCCTGGAAGCATCTCTGGTTAACAGAGAGAGCAAATCATAATTTGCTCTCTGTCAGACTGGAGGAACCTATTTCTTGCAGAAAACCAAACTGGAGAACATTTAGCAGGGTGACCTAAGCAGCAAATATCCCCTTCAGTTTTCCCCCAGTCTGAAGTGGTGTGTGAGCTTGTTGCAAGACAAATGCAGAGTGAGCAGAACAGAAAGAAACTAACATTGTTAGTACTTCTGCTAAATTAAATATAAATAACTGCTACCTGCTAATATTTCCTTTGAATTTGCCAATTCCTTGTGATACATACAATGCATGTTGCTAAATGCATCAGGCTCAAGGAAAGCTGGGACTAGGGTGAGCAGTAGTAGCCTGGATGCTTCATCTTGGTGATCCTTGTGGCAGCTCCATCACTTCATGCCTTCTCATCGTTCTCCAGGTAGCCCAGTTTCACAGGAGAACAATCTCGACCTTCCAATCCAAATTGAGAAAAGGATGGCTGAAAAGGGGGAACTGGAGACTGAAGGTACAATTTTAAAATGCAGCTTCCATGAGAAGTCTTTACTTAGAGCTATGCAGATCTCCAGCCAGTTGTAGCTCTTTTTTTCCTTGTCTCTTTCTTTGTAGCTTTTCAATTATTTTAAATGTAAAAGTGAAAAGCTTGGTCTGGAATCTCTAATTCTGAGCAGTTGCCCACAGGCAGATTGTTACTGGTCAATCACTGTTCAAGATGA